AAAGGTTAGAAATGACGAGGTATTGGAAAGAATAGGAGAACAGAGGACTCTATGGAAGTCAATAAAAAATAGGCGAGATAGGTTGGTAGGACACCTTCTCGGGTATGAATGTCTAGTCAGAGACATATTAGAGGCAGAAACAGGAGTTAGGAGGGATAGAGGTAGACCGAGATTAGATTACTCTTCGCAAATAGTTAAGGATGTGGGCTGTTCTAGTTTTAGGGAAATGCGAAGTTTAGCTCAGGATAGGAAAGAGTGGAGGTACGTGTCCAACCAGTCTTAGGACTGATGACCTTATGATGATGATGATGAAGATAAAATCAATGCAAATGAATGTAACTGCTTTCAAAATAATACTCACAATTATTATATTAATTATGGATTATATGTATCGATTATTACAAATGGGATACAGTTTTACTCTAACTGAATTTTTAGTGAAGCTCATCTATCTATGAATGAGGAAGATGAACTTCATTATTTATTAATGATGTAAAAACTTTGATGTGATATCCATACACAATTAAAGATTTTTGATTTTTAAATTATCATTGGTGGGGGGTGTCAGTATTTTCTTATTTTCGTTTATATTGAGGAAGAGGAGGAGGAGGTCTAAAATCATTGAAAGTCTATTTACATAAAATCTGAAGCCCCCTTTATAGAAGCCTAGCAAAAGTGTTAGAGATCCTGGAACTTCTGGCGAGTTCTATATATTAAGTGTACACAAAGTATGCAACGTCTAATGGCCAGTACCACTTTCCCAGGCCTCCAACATAGGAAGTAATTAAGATAAATGTACATATCGTATCTGTTATACGTTTGCTTGGCTACCGACAGACAGACAGACGAAACGGCTCACTAGGATATTGAAATTAAGTGGAAGAAATACGACATACGTACTGTATTTATACGTAACTGTAAGAAATGGATTGAAAAAATCCTTTTAGCGATCGGTCGGCGTATACAACTGTTTAATTGGAGCCTTTTTTGAAATCCGGCCTATTAATAATGGTGAAATGAGGACGTAGAAGAAAGTCGGAGACCCAATAGTGATCACCCACGCCAGCTAACCTTGTTAATGTATAGAAATATAAACCGTTGTCCGCATATGAAACTGGTTTTGCAAGGATTGAGGCCGAAAAATTGACTATATATTATTATTTCCTTGCAGTTGCCAATGAAAATTTTTGAGCAGAAATGAATCAGCTTTCTAGGCCTTCCCATTAAGGTGCTTTTCTTAATAAGTTCTTCAATGTAAAATAAGTATCAAAAGCCGATTTGGACTGGTGATGTATTTGAAATAATAGATGCAAGGATTATGTAAATAAAAACACAAATTAGAGCGCTATACTTTTCATTAGAAAACTGACAATTGTTTCAACTTATTCGGCCACTCAGAGTCATCTTCAGATAGTTGTCTGAGCAAGACAATTCAAATCGTATCAAACTATCGGGAGTTTGCTATCTATTTAGAGACCAAACTATGAAATAGAAATTAGGAAAGACACTTGGAATAGAGAATTAGAAAAGGTATTTTGCATTATGGATTTGTACTTTACATAAATAGAACTATTTCAAATAAATCCTGTATTTATTTGGTTTTTCTTATCGTACGTAGAGCAAGGAGATTCTAAATGTTATGAATTGTACAGAGAAAATTTCGACTCGAAGGACCATGTGTATTTTTAAACTAGTTCATAAAATACCTACTAATAACGATTTTTTTCATTCAACATTTAGATGAAAGTATATGAAGCGTTACCAAAACTTATCGCAATCATCCTTAATTTGATGGTTTTCATGACATTTAGGAAAGGCTAAATAAATTTTACTCAAAACATCCCTGTAGACAGTGTTACGATGAACTTTTTCGTTATTTTCCCTTTTCTCAAGAATGCGTGGAGATATCAAGTGTATTTTATAATATTCTACATTAAATAGCAAAGTTAGTGCTCATTTCCGATATAACCAGAAGTAGAAGTTAGTTGAGAATATTTTACATTACATAAAATTTCATGACAAAATTAATGGGAATGCCTTTTCAAAATTAAATTTCCACTATTCTTAAAGTTCTAACGAAGGACTTGGTAAACTCCGTACCGATACTTGCAAATTACGTCTATTATTACAGCACATGTGTGAGCCGTGTGACCTATTGTTCCGCAGTCTTTTTAGTCTTTTTTAATGAACGTAAAGATCGAGACCTTTATTATTATATCTAATGACAAAAATGTACATGTAGGTATCTGCTACCTACACAGTTAATTACGTATGTATAACATATGTATAGATTTATAAATTTTGCGCAATATGCCCATTTGATTAACTTTCGTTTTATAAATAAAAATTAAGTATTGATAGTAATAAAGTAGAACCTCTATAACTCGAACATCAAGGCAGACGCCAAAAAATTCTAGTTACAGAATTTTCGACTTATGGAGGATTTTGACTTAAGCGAATTTTGATTAGACTCGTAGAGACGTAGAGGTTAAGATTTGGTGTACTTACATTGTCGGCAAATCCTTAAAGTCGATAACTTAGTTTTCTTCGAACTATAGACATAAGTTTCAAATTATCGAGTTTTAAAGGTTATAAAATATGTAAAAAATTGCTGTGTTCGACATGCAGGGGTCCAATTTAATTTTTCGAGTTATAAGAGGGATAATATGTGCCAAAATGGCTCTTGCAGGGACTCACTGATTATGTCGACTAATAGAGGGTTAAGATTTCGAGTAATGGAGGTTTTGGGACTTGAAGGGAAGGGAACAAAACATTTTGTCAAGTTTTGGAGGTTTTCGACTTATCCAGGTTCCACTGTAATTACTATTTATCATTACGATAGCAATAACCCAGTTGAAATTCGTTAGTAAAGTTGCATGCGTGCAATAGAAGAAGTTGCAACCACCGGAAATGTATCTTTAATATCTCTGTCGCCTTTTCTATGCTTATTATTTGATGCGAAAAGCACCTACGTGTGTATTTTATGTTGTCTTGTGGGAAAGAAGATTGTCACCACAAACCGGCGACGAAAAAACGCAATGGTAAGCATTTAAGTGTAATCAAGCGCACAAAGTTGTGACGATATCATTATGCGTAAAAGTAACATGATGGTCTCGCCAACAGCATGTCCCTATTTTAATCGTTAGATATCAGTTCGGTTTATTATTACTTACGGTTATAATCCATTAATTAAAAAAAGAAATCATATATGTAGTACCCGCCTAAACTGCTTGTATATGTCACCCGAGTTAACAAATTATTTCCTGTCACATTAAAGCTTCATTGAATCCGATGCGTTACTTTGTTTATAATCGCGGTGCGAGTACAACCCGGAAGTGATCGTGTAACTCTGTAATCGTTGTTTGGTCGTAACACCGAAGGAAAAAATTAAGCAAATTAAAGTGACTTAGCAGGAGAAAATTAATACAAGGTCTTAAGTATTCGGATCAGATAAGTAATGAGAGAATCTAGATGGTTCTGACCATTCTTTGAGTTAGATAATTGAAGGAAGGAGAATTTATTGAAGGATTTAATTCAATAGATGGCGCCTAGTGCCTTGAAATCAAAAAAGTCAGAGTACAAAAATTATTAATAGAAATAGTTAGTCATGACTAACATGACTAAATGACATATCATGCATGATAATCATAAGTCAATATAATTTTGTAATCTTTACTCAGATCTATATAAACACCTCAAAGATGATATTCTCAAATATTCTAACCTAAAATTTTTAAAAATACAATTGTTCCCCTTTTGAGGGCATTATGATGAAGTAAAAAGTCAAAAGAAGTAACAGAGTAGTCATCTTCGGTTGAATTCGAAGCTAGCTTCGGAATTGTTCCAGTACATCAAGATTTTGAAATATCTTAAACTCTCAAAGCCTGAACGATCCTAATTTGACTTTTCTTGGCTTTAAGATTAAGATATCTCAAAGTATCGTGCGCTAAGCCAATTTTGGGGACAGGTTCGAGTTCACCGTCAAGTAATAATTTTAAAACGATCCTAATTTTGTTTTTTTAAATTTAAAGACTAAGATATCTCGAAATATTAAAGAGTAATTTTAGGAGCAGATTCAAGTTCAGCATCAAAATGTAAATTCGTCTGAATTGATTTATCCCGAAATTTCAGTGTGCTAATGTAATTTTCGGGACAAGGGTTCGAGTTCATAATAAAAAATACATTGAAAGTGCTAACCTTCTTTTCTTACTTTTCTTTTAATCTCGCCGTATAGGCGTACTCTCAAAAAATAGAGTGCTCTGGAAAAAGAATAGTTAATTGACACTTTTCTCGATGCATAATTCTTAAAAACTCATGCCGTTATAGACTAATGGCTAGAGTCGATATGTGACCATTGTTTTTGGACTTTATGTCGTTGAGATATATTGAATTTTGAAATATTTCTAGTTGAATGAATAAGAAATTAGAGGGATCATCCAAGTGGCCACATCATGCCAAAAATGACTTTTCAAAATGTGGAAAAACATTATAGTAATTTACTATCTAAAACCCCCGGTGGTTGACGAAATGATTGTGAACCGGTTGTCAATAGTATTTTTTCGAATAGTTTAACAATACACATAATGGTATCGTACCATGTTACTGACAATTCCGAAGGGTACAATAATTTTTCCAAGGAAAAAAGTAGTATTAGGAATTGGGTTTTTCGATGGTGAATTTTCAGGTGGTATTAATTTCAGGACAATGATTTTTTTTCATATTTTGAAAAGTCATTTTTGACATATTGTACCCACTTGGGAGATCCATCCAATTTCTTATTCATTCAACTAGAAATACTTCAACGTTCAACATATCGCAACGACATATGCTCATACTTAAGCTAGTCATTAGTCTAGTACTCGCTTGGTTCAAAGACTGATAGCAATCTTAAACCTTTGATTCAAGGATGCATGCGGAGAAATTATTATTTTTTACTGTGAATAATGTTTTCCATGGGTTTATCTATGTCATATAACTAATTTTTTTATTTTTTATTTCAGGTAAAAACACTTTAGTCGTAGATGTTTCATTCCACCGGATCTTAGGGTAAGAGAAAAAAGCATATTAATTTCTGGTGCTACACTTTTATTTTTAAATGTGACGGTTACCTAGAATTGACCTTTTTAACATTAATTTTATGTTAGAGGGTCTACTTACGTAGTTTAAGAGAGTTCACTTCGCAGTCGAATAAAATAAACAGCATATACTCTCACTGTTCTATTGGATAGGATGGACAATGCCGTTAAATTATTCTTGAAGTCTTAGTATTGGGTCACTTTATAATAAAGTTTTAGAGAAAAGCAACTGATAACAAAAATATAAAATGCGCTGTTAATACTCTCATGATTAAATTACGAACAGTGTGGCCACAATGATAAAATTTCATTGAACCGCTAGGACGTGTAATAAAAAAAACAGTTCAGAAATAACTGTCCTGTTCTTCCCAGTGTTAACTTCTCCGATCCAAACCCTATACAGGGACTGAATATACAAAACAAGTTATCTCTAGGTCTTTTGGTGATTACTAATTTATTATACAATTAGTTTTTAATGTCCTTTACTTAATGATTAGAGTTTTCTGCCATTATAATTTACAATTAAAATTAATTTGACAAATGATTTTGAACATTACAACTGTTGAGTAATCCTAAAAGACAATTCAATAAAAACGTACAACGCGTGTAATTTGACACACTGTAAACATGCCAATTTAAACGCGTTAATCACTTTTAAAATTTATTGCATTGACATTTGCTACGCCCCTTTGGGGAGCGAAATCGATAAACGCTAATTTATACGTAACATTTAAATTTTCACTCAACGCCATTAACACGCTGCTAATCTCTTTACGCCCTAATAGAATCGACTTTCATACAAATTGCAATTCGTTTTGTAAAACATTACATGCGCTTAATTGAATGTAATGAGCATTTAATTAGGATAGAAAACACTTCAGTGTAATCAGTGGAATATAATTAAAATATTCCTATTTAACTAAAACAAAATAAAGTTACTTTTAAGACCGCAAACGGTTAATTTAGAAATTCGAAACAAATTGTGGTCGCGGTGAATATGAAAAGGTTAAAAGCGTTTGAAATGTGGTGTAACCGGCGAATGATGAAAATGCCTTCGATAGAGAAGGTTGAAAATGAGGAGGCTTTAGAAAGAGTAGGAGAACATAGAGAGGTATGGAAGTCAATAAGAAACAGACAAAATAGGTTGGTAGGACACCGTCTCAGGCTTAAAGGGCTGGTTAGAGACATTAGAAGCAGGAGCAATAGTGATAAACCTAAATTAGATTAGCTTTCACAAATAGTTAAGGATGTGGGATGTTCTAGTTTTGGGGAAATGCAACAATGGTTAGCTAAGAATAGGAAAGAGTGGAGGTGCATGAGTGCACCAGTGTTCGTGATGATAATGATAGTAATCCGTATTTAACGATTCTGAAGCAAAATAATCAAACATACTAATTATCTTTCACGAGCGGACACCGACGGAACTTCGAGAAATGTCTGCTCAAGGGAGGCAGACAAGGAAGAATTATTTTATAAAAAATGCATACATTTAAGAGATATTCCGCTGTACATTATTTCGCAGTACTAATTTTCGGTTCAAACACACGTCATTTTTGTATTAATTTATTCGTAATTAACGTATCCACTATATCTTGTTCAAGGCCAACGCGACATGTAGTTAATGATGTTTACGCTGCATACTGTGTTCAGGAAAAATTTTGGTTAAGGTGCCTTAACCGTATTTGTGTTGTTCCATCCTTGTCAAGGGGAGTGCTAACCGTCTCTCCTTTCATACAACACATCGAGTATTGTGTAGACAGCGGTATATATACTTATTTGGCGGCTTCAAATATCGGTGAGAGGTAACCTTTATTTAGGTTTTTATAATCGTTATTGGATGAAAAGACGGTTAATTACCATTTAGAGCTCATCATAAGGCGTAATTGAAGAAGTGTGTAGATACTTTTTTTGATAATATACAAGGTATTTATTTTATATCGAAAATACTTTATGTGACGTTCAAATGCGCAAACTTGTTATGTAGAGATATTGCAAAGATGTTAAAAATGAAAGTTATCGGGTTCTAAAAGAAGATACAACATTGCCGAAACGTCAAGTAATCGATAATAATAAAAATTTATTTTATTTTCAATCTAAATTTCTGTTAATGATATCCTTAAAGTATATACTTCGTAACGTTAATGTTAATTATGTAAAGTTATTATAATTACGTTCTTTAAAAATCATTTTAACCGACAATAACAATAAAGACAAGGAGAATGTGCTTCATAAATTTATTAGGTACAAATTGTCTCTAATAAATCTTATTCGGGCACATCATTGCTAACTTCCTGCTTACATGTAGAACTTACAATCAGTCCTATCTTCAACTAAATTATTTTTAAGTGGTTAAACTGCAACGGACCGGGATGTTGTGTATTGTGATTAAATGAAATCGAATGCGATTGGACGTAATAACTCCTTCTAAATGTTCATTGTCATTATGAGGGTTACCGTTTAAAGGACACTTTTGGTTTTAGTGCTTAAACTTTTTTAATGCTGCCTATTTCTCTTTTAATTTTAAACTCAGGCTCGGGTCTCCTAGTAAATTAAATAATTAATTTTTTGATACCGTATCATCATCGTCATTATAAGGTCGTCAGTCCTAGGTAGGGTTGCCACCTTTTCAGGCTTTACATAAAGTATTTCTCGACTAAAAAGGTTAAAAAAAAAAGTACCCAGCATAAAAATAAAGTATTTTATTTTTTGCTTTTAAAAACATATTTTTTGTTATACCTAGCAGTCAGTAACAAATTGCTGTTGCTCTTAAATACATTAATAGGCTCTAAACATGGCAATCAAAGATTTAAGTAAACTGAAGTTCATTTTTAATTAGTTTTGATGAAGCTTTATTCCTGTCGTCCCGTCACTTTCCGTTCATAACAGAGAATACTCTTTCTGTAAATGCTGAAGTGGCCGGAACGGATAGCAAAAGTGACACTACTTTGAATAGATTTGGGAAATCAGGTTGTTCCGTAAATATGGCTTGTCATTTTTCTGTGCAATATTATTGATGTAAAAATACTCTGAATTTAGAATAATCGCTTACAAAATTAAGATGTTTACTTAAGGCCTTAAATAAAGTATTTTTGCGTACTTTATGTGTCTTGTAAAGTATAACGTACGCACAGTCGAAATAGACTACAATACTTTGTAATAAAGTACGGGTGGCAACCCTAGTCCTAAGACTGGTTTGACACGCACCTCCACTCTTTCCTATCCTGAGCTAATCTTGGCATTTCCCTAAAACTAGAACAACCCACTTCCTTAAATATTTGCCAACAGTAATCTAATCTAGGTCTACCTCTACTCCTCCTAACTCTTGTTTCTGCCTCTAATATGTCCCTGACTGGACATTCATGCCTAAGAAGGTTTCCTTACGGCCTATCTCGCCTATTTCTTATTGAATTCCATAGAGTCCTCTGTTCTTTTATTCTTTCTAATACCTCTTCATTTCTAACCTTATCTATACCGAACGCTTCTAATCTTTTCTTTTCCTTCTTTTTATTAAAGGCGACTTGACCCTGCACTATCCTCTGCTTTATTTCCCTACTACTCCTTCTATCCTGACTTATTTGACTTCCTAGATACCTAACATCAGTCACTTCTTCTAATGTTTCGTCTCCTTACTTATTATATGATACATTTCTTTTATCTCACCCAGTTTTCATTTTAATTTCTGGCATAAGTAATGAAATGAATAAAATATACAAACATTGTTTTTACTTCTTATTGATGAATAGGTTTGTTAAATAATTCTGAATTATTTGAATCATTTACTTTCATAAATAAGGGAGCGATTTAAACCACTAGATGATAAAACTTGTCATCGTGTGAGTTGATACATATCAAACAGTTCTGCTTTCAAGTGCTGGAATGTATGTTATAAAAGGATATCACAAGCAGTTTGCCAACCGCGTCTTTCACGCTATATTTTTTTACGCTGTGCACCTGTATTCAGGATTTCCTTCTATGGTAATAACCACTATAGCAAAGTTGTCTATACAGAATTAACTCTGCTTATCTATAGCTAAATACGAGCCACCTAACTATTCTCTCTTTTCAGTAGCTGCTCAAAACAAAGAATTTATGTATTACTAGATTTTACCCGCGGCTTCGCTTACGTTTTGTTGTCCTGAAGGAGTGTCAAAAATCATCGCAATTACAATAGTTTCATAGTTTCATAAATTTGTCCTGACCAGAATCATCAGGATGAAACTAAAGTTTTTAATTTTCCAGGTTAAACATATAGTTTGCGTGGAATGACGGTAAATATTGAGAATGAAAAGAAAATTTTCTATCACTCCAGATTAATATTTTATCTGGTTACCCTATGTCCATTTCTGTATCCCTGACAATGTGTCTACAAAATTCCATGACGATCGGTTGAGTAGTTATGGCGTGAAATCGTAACATACAAACAAACTAATTCTCATCCTCATTTATATTAGGATAGTAATAGTAATGAAAATTCTATTTCAAAATATGTTTAATTTGGACTCTATAGTAACCCCAACAATTTATTGAACTTTTAATGGTAAACGATTTGTGTAGACTGTAAACCGTATTTGTTTATTTATTTTTAAGGCCTTAAGTAAACATCGTAATTTTGTAACCGATTATTCGGAATTCAGAGTATTTTTACTTTAAATAATATTGCACAGAAAAATGGCAAGCCATATTTACGGAACAACCTGATTTCCCAAATCTGTTTAAACTAGTGACACTTTTGCTGTCCGTTCCGGCCACTTCAGCATTTACAGAAAGAGTATTCTCTGTTATGAACGCAAAGTGGCGGCACCACAGGAATAAAGCTTTATTAAAAATGAACTTTTAGTTTACTTAAATCTTTGTTTGCCATGTTTAGAGGCTATTAATGTATTTAAGAACGACAACAATTTGTTACTGGCTGCTAGGTCTAACAAAAAATATGTTTTTAAAAACAAAAAATAAAATACTTATTTTTCTGCT